TTGGGTTTGGGGGGGGGAAGGGGGGGGTCGGTAATTTTTTGTAACGATTCTGAGCAAAGAGCCCAAAGCTGTATTTATACCTCAAGAAAAATGCTGCCGCACCCACGTGGGCAGCGGAGAGCAGAGGAGCGCCGGTGCCTCCCGCGCTGGGGCCCTCGGGCAGCGCCCTGACGCTGCCGCCGGTGATGGCAATGTTTGGCCTTTTAACGCCGTGGCGTGGGGCTGTGCCGCTCACCTGGGAGTGATCCAGCGGGTCAAGAAAAAAACCAACCCACAGCAGATCCGAACGGTTACAGCAAAGCACAGCTGTTGTATCGTCCTTTTAAAGTAGCGTAGTGTGCTGATTACCTCTGATCAAAATAGAGTGCGGGGCCTGGGGGTTTTGTAGTGTATTTATTGAAGACATGAGACTGGAATTTGTACCTCAACTGATGCATCTCGTGATTTAATATATTCTGAACTTGATACTCTGCTACAAAACACTCACTTTTAGTACAAATAAATATTTATACATGTAACTAACTCTCACTTTCTAATTTTTTTGAGGAAAAATGAGAACCAGGTGGCTCCTCTGGGGCTGTGGCGGGGCTGTAGGGGTCGGAGCCCCCATTCCAGCCTTGCCTGCTCAGTGCCTCGGGCCGGGCTGACCCCGGAGCTGGTTTCCTTTCGGAAACCTTGGCTGATTTCCCTCCCCCCTGCCTGGGCCGCGCAGCGGTGAACAAGTCGCATTTAAGGAGCAGAGCGACGCTGTCGTCTGCGGCCCTGCCTTTCTGTGCGGTTTAACCAGCACTCGAGCACCTTCTGGCTGCTAAGTCCCCGCAGAAAGGGGACAATGCTGCAGCGCTCAGGCCCCTCCCAGGGCCCCCTTGGCTGTGGAAGGGGCCGTGGGTCTCGCAGAGCCCCGCAGCCCCCGCTGCCCAGCCTGGGGAGAGGCAAAGGGCGAGCTCCTGCGCTGTCCCGTGGGGGTGCTGGCCCCTCGCTGCCGGCCTGCGCCTGCCGGGGCTCCCAGCCCCCCGCTCACCCAGAGCCCCCCCTGCAGCACCCGCGGCTGCCACAGCCCGGGGTTCCCCAGCACCAGCGGGGAGGCGATGCTCGCGGCCAAGCCAGGCTCAAACCACCCCCCAGCGTATCTACAGAATTCAAACAGGGCCAGACTGGTGAAGGCTACAGAAAGCAGACTGACAAACCCACAGAGCAAACAGACGACACATTTATTTACCCGCTACGACTGCGCCAAAGGTTTCTGTTTGCGCTGCAGTGTCGGCCGGGCAAGATCAGCTGCTTTACAGCCCGGGGACAACGCCGGTACGGGCTGTCCTGCGCACGCTGTCTGCCGGTAACCGCGAGGGCTGAGCAGGTCCTAAGCAAATTATTTGCCTGCCGGGAATGTCTATGCCTCTTCCTGCCAGAGGATTCGACCTTTAGGGCCGCCCCAAGACAGACCCATCTCTCACCCAAAGCTTTGCTCGGAGCTTAGTACCGGAGACGGGCTCGGCCTCAGCCCACGCCTGTGAAACCACGCTCGCTCCGAGCAACCGCCCGAGCCGAGGAGGGGGAGGCTTGCCCCCGCGCCGAGGAGGGGCAGGAGCGACCACTGAGGAGCCTGGGCCAAACCACGCGAGACGTGGAATTAAAGCACCCGCGTTCCTGCACGATGAACTGAGCCCTTCCTGAACAAACCATCCAGCGGGGCTGTGCTTCGAGAAGGGCTCCAAAAGGGGCAGCAGGAGCAGCAAGTATGGAAAAGTCCTTGGAAAAGTGGGGATGATGCTCCAGCTGCAGGGCTGGTCCTCGGGCAATCCCAAGAACCCCTTGTGCCCCCTCAAATCAGTCCCTTCAGCCTGCAGCGGCGCGGCACAGGCACAAGGCGAAGGCAAGAGCCAGCCAGCGTGCCAAGAGCCGGGTGCTGGGAGGAACATGCAACGATCAGAGCGCCGCTGGTGATGGGGGGGTGCCCCGGCCCCTGCAAACAGCCAAGGGCTTGTTCCTATTCCCGAGCGCTCCGTTTGACATTTAACCGGGCTCCAGGACACTTCACGCTCACTGTTAAACCCAGCACAGGCTGCGTGCTCCAGCTGCCTGCACGCGAGCTGTACCAGGTAGGAAGCACCCCAAAAAAAGGAGGCGACGCAGGACGTTACCGCGCCAGCCCAGCATTTCTCAGGTGTAACGGCTCCCGAGCGGCGCTGGAGAGTTCGGCGTCAGAGCAGGCACCGACAGCAAACTGCGGAGCTGGAGCCCTTCACCTGGCACGGCGTAACTCGCGCCTCCTCGGCAGCCAGCGCCACGGCCTGGGGGTTCATTTTAAGGCTGTTCCGTGGACCGGGGCTCCCCAGCGCCTTGCGTCACTCACTGCCTTACATCGCCGCTTTCTGCCCGGCACCGTGCCGTGCGGGATTAGCATTCCAGAGCCCCGACTGCCACATCGCCATCGCACCGTAGCTCCCGGGGTGCCCGATTTCCTACATCCTTGCGTTAGAGCAATACACATTTACCCCATAGGCTCTTTCCCCCACATCAAAAAGCAAAGGCATTATTAAATTATTAACACACCCCCCCCCCCCCGTGCAGTACCCCAGGAGCTGAAATCGGGTCGCGCTGAGACCGACTGCAGGAGCGCACGGCCCCCCAGCGTGCCGGACCGAAGGATGCCGGCCAGAAAGCCGTGCTCGGTGGAGCTGTCGCCAGCACCTGACGCCGTACGCTGGCCGGCTCCGGACGCCTTCGTTTTACCTTGCAGCGCGTTCCATTTTACGTCATCATCTCGCTTTCACCTCTTACCGCCCCGCGACGGGGAGCAGAGCCGTGACACGGCGTACCACCCCGGGGGCCAAACGAGTCCCATCACGCGTTTGTCTTGAATTAGTGCACAATTCATAACATTGTAAAAAGAAAAATCAAATCAAGCTACTGAAAACCGACCGACAGAACTTTACGGAACACTTACTTAGGTTTGTAACCCTTTGCCTTCATCACTACGTAAGGCTACGCGAGTTCACTGACACTGCCACCAGCAAGTACAGCAGGCCGCTGCTAAACCACGATTACAGACCCGCAACCCCCTCGCCTCTTTTCAGCCAGAGGTCAGAGCGCACACCAGCGCCGAACGTCACCGCCCGTCCCCGC